TTTTCAAAGTGAATATTTCTCTAAGTCTGAACTGTAGTGGGGTTTTCAAAAAAAGATATTGGACTTCAGGAGCAGGTTTTGTAGCTCTAAGTCAAGGTGATTGCTGAAGTTTATGACAACTAATGACCCTGAGGTAAACTGTAATTTATAAAGCATACCCCAAAGTCTAAATCTGCTATTTTCACTCTTAGAGAAGTAAACAGAATAAAAAGAGCCATTCACATAGTGTAAGGCATGCTAAGATTTGTGGGCAGACCTCCTCAAAGAATAAAGGAGTTCTTCACAGTGATTTTCAAGTTTTCCTTAAAGATGGGGAAATTGGGGAATGTCATTAATCTTTATTAGAAAAATAATCAAGAACTTAAGTTGTGAAATTTATGCAAGATTTCACAGATACTATTTGGAGGAGCAAAAGGACAATAATGTTAAAAAAGCAGAACCGGTTACTCTGTACAGTCCTTCCATGAGCAGTCTTGCAACAAAGTCTTTGACTTACAGTTTTTGAGAACTTACATTAACACCTTACATAATTATTCTCGAATAAATTAGATTTAATTAACTAGTTTATTTCAATGCAAAAAGGCTAGTTAACAAACGTCTCTGGGAAGAGATTTAGTAATGGAGTGTTTGATCTAACAACAAGCCTTAAACCTTACGTCCTTTACAAGAGGACTGTCCAAACTTTGATATCTTTCTAGTTCAGACAGCTGTAGCAAATTAAGATGTTGTCCTTGTCCTTAGCTTCTTTATTATTGTTCCCATTTTGGAATTTATTGCTAGCAAAACAGAAGTGAGCAAATGGAATATATGGCTACACCTCAGCCGTTTCAGTGCAGAGTTTAATGGGGTAATTTAACCTGCCAAGATGATGGGTTGAAACTCAAGTGAGAGACTGTGCACTGAAGCAGCTCTATGGTATGGACGTATATATGCACGTTTTATTTTGCATTTTGTGCTTTCAGGGCAGTTACCTTTGGCAGAGGTGAATGAGGTAGTTGAAAACAGTAACTTCTCACCTGCTGCTACATTTTCCAAGATGCATTTGCCTGAGACAAATGCACACAAGGACTTCATATAAAGCCAAATAAGCTTTGTTATATTTAGCATTGTGTTTTAAGGAGTAGAAAGTGATACAAAATGAGAAAAGTTGTTCAAAACTAAGGGAATCGGTGTGCATTTAAGGGAATAAATCCTTTTCGTTGGCTAGTGGAAGATTATTTTTTAAAAAAAAGATTCAGAGAGATCTTAGGATGCATTTATTCAGACATGTTCATAACAAATTTAAATCTGTTTTCACCAGATAAAATACTAGCTTGCTTGTTTATCAGTGAATTGTCCCAGTTCAAAACTCAAAAGCAAACATTAAGACTATGTATCAAGCATGGAGGCTTCACAAGGTTTTGTATTAACCATGTTGCATTTAATGCATTTGTATATATGTAATTAAACCACAGTGTATGTTATAGCTTGTCTGAGAAGCTATAAATATAGATCAGTTTTCCATCTTAAGCTTTTAGCTACTTGTATTTCTCTTTTGAACTTGGTATAGTCATCAGTGGTAGTTCTTGTATGTATGAAATGTCTCTTACATTTTATTAATAAATGTATGCACTAGGTCTGGTCAATGTGTATTTAGTTACATAGTTGTTTTTTTTTTTTCTCCTTCTTTTCAAACATAGGGGTTTTCAGACTTATAAATTCTCAGCAGTTCTTTCCATATTGGAAGCTGTTCAAGCAAGAGGACTCTAGTGCCTGAAGAGTAAGTAATCATCTTTTTCCTCTTTCGTTTGAGGTACTAGCAGACTCGTTTTGGGAAGGACAGCTAAGTTAGAGATAGCAGAGCCTATGATGGTGTTTATATTGTAGAGTAGGCACAAGTGAGTTAGGGTTCTTTTTCATTTTTTTTAATGCTGTAATTTTGCAGCTGAGGGAAAATACCTGACTGTAGATTACAAGTATTCAAAAATGTTATGATTGAAATAAATTGTGAATGTCCCTATTCTGCTGTGTATTGTAAAACCTTATAATATCTCAACTTTATTCCACAAATGGCTTTTAAGATAAGTTTAGGAATTATAAAATCTACTGAAACACTACATAATTTTTGACAGTTAAATATTTTAAATTTTGACTCTAATGTCAGCTGAGAAGAAGACTTTTATGGCATGGGAACTCTGCTTGATATTTCCACCACAAAATTTTAGTAGCTTATTTATCTGCCATTTCCCAAATTGTGGCTACAGGAGATAATACATTAGTTCTGGTGTTCTTTTATAATATCTGTTATTACCTGAGTTTGAACTATTCGGGCATCTGAATGTATGATCTTGAAGTTGGTTATTGTGTGACGTGTTTATCATATTTTATTTCTATTTCTCTAAAGATGAGGTATTCATTTGGAGGTAAAGCGCATCCCTGAACAGCTTAATTCTTCATTTAAGAGATGTGTCTTGTATTGATGGGTAAGGATGTTTTTGCACTTGTCTATATGTTATATATTTTTCCCAGATATAAAGTACTGCCTGATTACATGTCATTCTGAGACTTTTAAAATTCATTTTGAGTTAAAAATAAAGTCAAAATGGATCCCTTAAGCAAGCATAGTAGGTGGGCCAAACATGAGGCTGTGGGTCTTCCTGATATGGAATTTCCATATTAAAAATTTCTGACATGCTTTCTCATGTGTGTACTTTTTTTTTTGTTGAGCTTAAGTATAGCTGTTCTCAATAAAGAAGCTTTTCATACTCTGAAGGGCACTGTGTGTGATAATGGTAGAAGTTTGTCTTTACTTGCATTGGAGATGGATTTCCTTTTCAAGTGCAACATAATTTGTCATCTTGGTTGACTTAAACTCTGATGAATGACCGTAGCAATTGACAAATACTGGTTTATTATTATATTTTCCTCCAAGCCTTTAATATTTATTTCCTGGAGACTTACCTGCTTCAAGAGAAAATGGGAAAAGGATTAGAAGGGAGTTTGTATATGTCTTGGAAATAGAAGGATTAGCTGTGACATGAGGTGTTTAGTGCAAGAGAAATGTGGATGTGTGGTCAGACTTCTGTGCACTGTGATGACAAGTGCATGAGCCAGTGTGCTACAGTTGTGTGTTTGTGTTGAGATATAAAATAGTAGCCAGAAACTTCAGCTTAGTCCTGAAAATTTAGATTAATCAATTCTGAATCTTCTCTTGTGGATCTTCAAATTAAAATTTCATATATTTCTGTTACCTTAAATATTTGTGATAGCATTTGTGGACTCTTCAGCAGAAGAGAAATTCTAAACAGAACTGTTAAAATGAGAGTACAGGTATACTATACTGGCGGGCTTATTACTCCAAATAGTTAAAAGTATATACAAATATGTTTTAAAAATTAAGAAGTGCCTATTTAAGTATGTACTTGTATATGTACTTTAATTAAAAAAAAAAGGGTACCAAATAAACTTTTTCTTAATTTACAGTGATGCCAATAAGAGAAAATCAGCCCATATTTATCTACAGATACCAATGCGATTTGTACAAAGATTTACTTATTCCTTTTTTGTTAGAAGATCCTAGAGATTTTCTCTATTAAATTTTTAAATGTTCTTTTTTAATCTTTTTGTATTTTGAGGAAATTGTGTTGTCCCTTTAATGTGTATTTCAAATTTAACATGTATGTTGATCTTTAAATCTGTGATAGCATATCATTTATGTTGAAGTATGAGTGGGAAATAATTTCTGTGTTACTTAATTTGCCGCACTTAACACAAGCTTTAGTTATAAGTAAATACAACAATAATATAATGCAATTGCTTTTTTCCATTAAAATTGAGGAGGGAGCAGTTATGAATATTATGCAGAAGTGACCAACTGGACACACATCTCCAGGATCTTTTGAAGATATTATTTTGAAGATATTATTCTGCATGCTTCTAGCATCGTGAGGCCCATTTGCCAGTAGATAGGCTTTTTGATATGAAACCATGGACCTGTAATGCTCTTTATGTACTATATGGAATTTCCCAAATTCTATACTAAGACAAATTCTGTAGTACAAGACTTCTTTTGTAGGCTGTTAGGCCTTGCTGCATTGCTTTCCAAAAACAGCAACAGAAAGGAATTGCTTGCCTGCACATAAAAGAAAGCTCTTCCCTAACTATGGTTATCTCTGTGTCTGTCGTTTATTTCCTTTAACTGCAGTCTCAGTTTCTGACATACTGTGCTTTTATGACTTCTCTTTTCATCTCACCTCTTTGCTAAGTTGTCCGTAACTACTTAGGTAACTTCTATCAAGGGTCTGGATAGCCACTGCTTCAGTTTTTCTTGTGAAAAATGGTCATTCATGGTCATTCATTGTCTCTACTCTGATGTTTTTACACATTATTCGTGTGCAGCAATGATACTCATCACTGCATTCATCTTTACCCTTTTCCTTTAAACAGGGGTTTTATCATAGCAAAGTTATGTGGGATTAAATGTTTTTTTAAAAAACAACTTTAATGCATTATATGTATTATATTTTATTTCTTTTTATGTTTCTTAGAATGACACATTGTAAAAGAAATTGACTTTTAGATTACAAGTCCTGTTTGGGTAGTTTTAATGAAAATGACCAAGTGAATTGAATGAAATAATTTAAATGATTTAATTTGAAACATCAAATACTATTTTAAGTACAAAAAGTAGAAAAACTATAAAGGCTACATAGGGCATTGAATATAAGCAGAGATAACTCTAAGTGTCTTGCGGTTTCTCTGAACTACAGAATTATGGACAAAGCATCAGAAGCTATAAAATTATTGGGGAGAGGAAAGAGATTGCGATGGAGAGGTGGTGTTTGTTTGTTTTAAAGAAAATATGTATAGCTGTTATATAACCGTAACTTTTGAATTTTTTGCCTGTTTCTCCCATAGAATGCTTGCAGATTGGCATTTCATCAGAAGCACTAATGGATGTTGGCATGCCTTGGATAAGGTGGTAACTACTGGATGTAATCTGTTTATGTTCACTGTGGAGGGCCAGAACTGACTTGCTTTGGGGTAACGAGAGACAGCAGTACCGGCGTATCAAGATGACTGATCCTATGATGGATTTTTTTGATGATGCCAATCTTTTTAGTGAGACCTTAGAAGGTTTGTCAGATGATGCCTTTGTTCAACCTGGACCTGTTTCACTTGTTGATGAACTGAATTTGGGTGCAGAATTTGAACCTTTGCATATAGACTCGTTGAACCATGTGCAAGATGCTCCAAACCAACAGAAGATGAGTGACTTTGAGCAGCTGAACCAGTATGATTCACTGAAACTTCACCCAGTCAATCAGTCTTTTAGTAGCTCAGCTGACAATGTCTTGTCACCACACTCTCAATTTAATTGCTCACCAATTCATCCGCAGAACCAGTCTAATGGGATGTTTCCAGACGTGGCTGATGGTAGTCCTATGTGGGGTCACCAAACTGCCACAACTGTTTCAAATCAGAATGGGTCCCCTTTTCATCAAGGACATTCTCAGTCTATGCAGCAAAACAAAAGCTTTGTAGCACACCATGATTTTGCCTTATTTCAGGCTAACGAACCGCAGCATCAGTGCGCCTCGCTACGGTCACAGCAGAGCAGAAACAGCATTAACACGGGGCAGGATGCTCTGAGTCAGCCAAAAGACTTCATGGAAGTTAATGTATCTACTTCTCACAGAGTTGGTGTTAACCACCCACCTTCGGTTTCCAATCCATCAACTTCACAGCAGCCTCTGTCTGTTCAACAGTTTTCTCAAACTGCAAGTGCTTCAATACATTTTTGTGGGAATCGAGAGGGAAATTTTGATGGGCAGTCCTCAGCTATTACTCCTTGTTCTGTCAATAATACCCAACAATTTTCTTCTCCTTATTCTTACTCTAATAACCACATTTCTCCTACCAGCCTTCTTCAGTCTACAACGGCTCTTTCTTCTGGCCAGCAGACACACTCTATCTCTGACTTCACTGGAAGCGATGCCTTTACATCTCAAACAGGGACCAAGCAAGATACAACTGAGCATATGTTGAATCCTAGTACACCTTTGAATTCGAATAGTTTTCAGCTGTTGCATTCTGCACATCCTCAGGGCAACTTTAGTAGTTCGAAGCTTTCTCCTGTGAATATTAGTTTTCCAGCATCTGCTGGTTCTGCATCTCAGATAAGCCATTTCACTGACCCAATCGAAAGCAATGGGTTTACATCGTTGGACGACAACTTACTTCATCAAGTTGAGACTCAAAGTGAACCATTTACGGGGCTTGACCCAGATGACCTCCTTCAGGAAGACCTTCTACCCCAGTTTGACGACTCTGCGTTTGTTCAGGACAGCACAAGCCACGTTTTGGAGCATGATCTCGACCACCACATCACCCCACCGCAAGTAACGCAGCCGTCAGACATGGCTCGTGCTCAGATCCATCCCTGGCATTCTTCAGTTTCCAACCAGCATCTCCAGGACAGAAGTCGTATAACCTTACAAGGACAGGTATGTAGTGGTTGGTTTTATTTTTGAGTGGTCTGATTCGGCTGTTTTGATGAAAGGAATAACAGTGGCTGGTACTTTTGCCAAACCACGGTAACTGAAGCCTCGGAGCTTTTGCTTGTGTTTGGCAGGCAAATCTGACTGCTGATGTAGGAGAAAACGTTTGATGAAAAACTTGCTCTTTTCCTCCTCTTGATTTTTGATCTTTGGAGAAAACCAGTTCTATATGACATGAAATAGTTATTTAGACAGAAAGATGCCTGCCCTTTCAGTACTTGTGTTTCCTAAGTGCAACAGAGAAAACTGGTTGCTTTGTGCCCTTGGTGGAAATATAATGGCTAATTGTCTTTTGAACTACTGATAAGATGTATTTTTTTTGAGAATTTTAATAAGACTTATTTGCATATTTTAAAGAGCTATAATATGACTTACTTGTGAGGCTGATTTCCTGCAAGAATAGCACTGGTTTTGTTGTTGCATTGGTCCTTTGCTTGGTAACATGATGCTCAAGCTCATCAACTGAAAATACGAGTGTCTTTTTGTTTTCAATGTGGTATTAATAATATAAAACATACAAAACACTTCTTTCCATATTTGATTTCCACAGTTTAGACATAACATGGTCTCATCTACTGCAGGTATTAAAATTCTTCACATGGAAGACAAGGTAGCCTAAAAATTATCTTACATGTGACTTTCCTTGTCAACATATTAACTGTGGCACCAGTGGCTGGATGACTTGGAAATTAATACCTAATAGTGTCCTGTTTTGGCACTCTGTGGTAGCTTCAAGCCCAGATTTGATTTAACAGGAGTGACTGAAACTCCTTCTTCGATTAGAGGGTTTGGCAAAAGGTGCCACATCTACTTTGTGATAAATGCGTGTATCCATCTGCCACCGCTAGTCATGCGGGTCTTCCAAAATTGTGAGCTTACTTGTTTAATGTTCAAACATGTGAACAGTAAAAGCAGTATTTTTTTTTCAGTTTTTTTTTTCAGTTTCAGTTTTTTTCAGTTTTAAATTCTGCTTATTTTGGGGAAAGTACAGAGAATATGATTGCTTGCTAATATTTCTGTTTTTTTGAAAGAGGCAGCACATTATATATACATAGATATGGCTGTATAAAATATTTGGGTTAGTAACTGTATTCCTGAGGATATAGAATCATGTCTTGTCAAAGAGGGAATTGTTGCAGAGGGCAGGAGCTTTGTACTGACTCCTGCTTTAACCTAGTTTGCAAGACACTCAATTCCTGTGAAGAAGGAAATACAATAATGTTTTCTTCTATTGTCAAAATAATACCCATCTAATTTTATGCTATCAATGGAAACAGAAAGGTCCAATATTATTGATCTTTAATTCAGTAGATTGCTTCTCCATTTCAGCTTATGTTGGTGGCAGCATAGAATTTCCAAGTCCTACTAGAGAACCTCTTTTTCTTTAGGCCCAGCCTGGTGTGTTATTAATGGAACGTGCCCATGGTCGTGAACTCGAGGTTAGCTTCATTATTAGCTGAGAGGGTGCAGGGGGTGCCAGCTGATGCACGCACTGCCGAAAGCCGCGGTGCTCCCAGCAGCTCCGAGCTCCGTGCCGGTCTCCCCGGAAAGCAGCGCAGGAGAAGGGGCTGGTGGTCAGTGCAGCTCTGCAGCTCCCCAGGAGCGCGTGGCCTTTCACTGACACTCCTTGTGGCGCTTTGATTTCTAGGTGTAGAGTAAATGTTCTGAGGCCTATAGAAAGTGTTTACATTTGGGAGGCGGTGTTGGATTGGTTTGTTCCTGCGGTGTGAGAACAAGGCGTCTTTGCAGCGTTTAACCTTGGTTTCACTTTTCCCCCTGGAGCTTGGAAATGAGATGGACAGAAAGCAGATAGTTAACGAACTGCTTTACTGCCCCCCTGCCCTCCCCCCCCACCTTTTCTTTTTAAATACTTGCGGTGTGCAAGAAAGTGTGTAAATTGGATTCTGACTGCAGTTGCTTGGAGGTGTTTTAAGTTTCTTTTACTAAGTCACTGGTTGTGCAGTGGCAGCTGTCAAACAACTGCAAAAAGTGTCTGGATGGGGAAATGTCAGAAGTAACTTTTCAGAAACCTCTTTCAATCTGTGTGCGCAATATGGATTGCTAATGGAGAAGTATGGCAGGTAGTGAAGTTGTGTTTCGGATCTGTCTTTGTCCAGCTCCAATTCCAAGCAGGACTGCAGTTTGGCTTCTCGCTTTTATTTGTTATTTGATCACTCTGTAAGATTTAAAGTTCAAGATCAATTTTTGAGGTGTTCACAAATGGACATAGTATAACTGAGGGGGAAGGAAGATACTGCTTTTGGTGAGGTTGATGATTTTTAGGATAGGAATTAAGTAGGAAGGGGTTTTTATATCATAGCTTCCATACGTGTTCATACGTCTGTTATTTAACAGGGAAAAACTGTCACTCTATTAAGCCGTTTGTATTTTGAGGAAACTATTATTAGTGGATTTGATTATTTCCACCCAGTTTTAGTTTGATAATTGTAGATTTATTTTCCAGACAAGACTTTTTTTTTTAACTTTATGAAATAGTTAATTAACTGTAGCTATTGCAAAAAGACCCAACAAGAGGGAGCCAAAGATCTTTAACTTCACTTTAAACTGAAGTTATTTAAAATTAAGAAAGATAATAATAAAATAATAATGAAATACCTTGTATTTCGTAATTTGGAATGGCTCGTGACAGTGTTATTTGTACAGCTATTCTCTCAATACGAATTAGTTTAAAAATCAATCACTTCAGCATAATACTGCACAGTTTAAATCATCTAGAATGTCTTATGTTGCTATTACACTTTCCATGTCTGCTGTAATTGGATTATAATTATAAATGTATTGCACCTCTTAATTCTGCATCATGCATTTTTCATCAAAGTTATTTTGATAATGAGAGTGCAAAGTGAAGTGGAAAAACAAACTACAGATTAATGTACTTACTCTTTAGCTAATGAAACTCCTCTCATCTTTTTAACTGCACTTAACTTTTTTTTTTTCCCTAAAGCCAAATAATCTGTTTGAAATTCGTATCTGAAGAATACAATGTTGCCCATAAAGTCATCGATAATTAAGGGAACACAACAGAAATACAGTGGATGTCTATCATGCTTGAGCATTCTGCATTTTAGGAAGAAATGGAGTTTTGAGTTTTGAGGTTTTTTTGCTGTTTTTTTTTTTTTTTTTCATTTTAACTACAGAAGCTTTAATATCCCATATTCAAATAGTTTTGCTTTGACCAGATCAACTGTGTAGATTTTGATGTTCAAACTATGTGAGGTGGGATAAATTACAAGACATGTAATTGCTTCTGCTCAGTACCCCTGGAAATAGTCATCCACTACTTCACAAGCAATGGGAATAAAAGCATCATAGCCTAGAATTTTGCTGAGGTGGATGCACTGGATTAGGCCACAGGCCTTTAACCTTTCACTGTGTTACTAGCTTTGGTGCAAACCTTTGTCTGAGCTTTCGTTGTAAAGGTGGTTATTTTTAGGAGTTATCTGCTCTGGATTTAGTTCTCTGCGCTTAAAGAACCATTCTCACCTGCGTTTTAGCACTGCTGGGTTAATGATTTTCTCTCTGCCACAGTGAGGCAGCAGAATTCAGTTGTTATCTCCCAGCACCTACCGAGATTTTAACCCAGGATTTGCACAAATCTGGGTGGGGGTCAGCAGGAGCTTCCCCTGCCCTTTTAACGTCCATGATAAATCAGTCCCTGCACTAATTTAGAGTAAACATGCCCTTGTTCATTCGTTCGTTCTTTTTTTTTTTTTTTTCATTTTTTTGCAGTTTTACTGTGTTTCCTCCTTTTTCACTTTCTTTGTGTTGTGTTGAAAAGTATCCACAGAAATAGGAAGAAGTGAAAGTCACCAGACGTGTGGAGTGTGCAGAATTAACCGACAAGGGGAGGGCAAGGGCTGCGCTGAGCAGCGCCCGTCCCCGAGCGGGACGCCTTAAACCAGAGCTCTGCCCAAGAGGTTTTCATTAGTCAGCTATGTGGGGTTCTTCTGCTTGCTTTTTTTTTCCAGTGCTATATTCATGAAAATAGCAGTATTTTGATAGTTTAGTAATGGAATATGTTCGAAGCACTTCGTTTTTGTATGTGTATGTTTTGATTCTCTATTTATTTTTGGCCTTCACCAGTGCTTTTCTTAAGAATCTCTGAACTTCAGTTGTGAAATCATTAGGTTGTCCAATTCCGACCTGAGGAAAGAGATACTTGCTTATTTTTGCAATGAATGATATAATTTAGAAATATCACTTTTCCTGAGATAATTGCACTCTTATTAAATGACTGTAATAATTTTCCTTAAAAAGTGCCAAAACAGAAACATGTTTGTAAAAAATGATTAACAGATGGCAGGCATAGAAAAGAAGCTTTGAGCTAGATCACTTTATGGGAGTCATCTTACAAATATCATTAAGTTGACAGAATTAAGTAAAACAAGATAGTTTTAAAAAATTGATATTGCAGAAGAGGTACAATGAGTGTCTCAATATTTATAATCTGCGAACAGATGCCTGGTTAACCCTGAAGAACTATAAAGTACTTGAGCAATGTGTGAGTGCTTATATAGAGATGTAGCCATGCAGCAGTTGTGCCTTGTGTTTTCTTTGAGAGGTAGCAACCTGTGCTATAGATTGTGAAACTGTTTTCAATAAATGCTTAATATTATAATTTAAGGGAAAAGAGAATTAGTTTAGGGGAAGAAAAAAGCCATGGTGTTCCATGGTGCTCAACTGCAAGGAACTGGTTTTGCTGCAGAGTAATTTATTTATATATGTAAAAATATATGTACATAGATATAGAAATACTTTATACCTCTGGCAGGCTTGTGCAGCTGGAGAGGTGATGTTTTCTTTGCTTCATGGACTAAGATAAAAAATTTGCACAATTCGTTGTGCGTGGCTTTCCAAGAACAGTGTCTATCCTCAGGTGGTTAAAGCAGATTAAGTTTGGTAACTCGTTAGGCTAATAAATATAA